AAAGTTTATTTCCCCCTCAAAAATTTCCATGTCTTCACACACTACTGTGTGAAAAAATCAGGTTCATCTGGCTAGTGCTCCTAATGGTTTTTACCATTTACAAAAATCCACCAGGCTCAACCAATCAGAGCCGAGAAAGATAGCTGATTGTTCAGTCTCATTTACAGGGTTTCAAATACAGATGCTTTGAGACCCTGGGAATGAGACTCAACAATCAACTATCTTCAAGCTTCCAACCCAAAGTGTCTTTATATCTTTCTCAACTCTGATTGGTTGGTTTTGTTCAGGCCCGGTGGATTCTTGCAAATGACATTAAGGGCAGTAGGAGAAACCAAAACAAAGTGATTTTTTTCACAGATTATCTGTGAAGATTTCAGGAAATATGACAAAACGTTATTTTTATAAAAGTTACCGAGTGCAGCTTTAATATTTAAATTTGTATGTTTAGTGAACTATTAGTTGTATATGTGTGTTTTTGTTTTGTTTTCATATTTTGCCAAAGGTTGTAAGTGTGGGCAGACAATTGTATGTCATCTTTTTATGTGGAATGCGTATTTGTTAAGGTTACAGCACATACCTGTATGCTATGTTTTGTTGAAAACATACACTAATGTGATTAAATAATGCATGCAATTGCAATGCATGAGTGAATGTATGAAAAAAAAATGCTATTAGCAGCCATTGGTAATATCAATACCACAAGAACCAATAATGTTAAACTCTTGAAGAATGAAGACAGTGTGTGTAACTGTCACCAGATGTTTCACAGAATTTGATGTGTTACAGGTTGTGTGTTGGAGTGGTGCTTTCCTCCAGGGGATCCACAGTCCACTGCACAGACAGGTGTGCACCAGTCTCTAACTGAAGCATAACCAGACCTATGATCTGGTCGGCAGGAACACTCCATACAACATAGCAACGTCTTGCTTCATCTAAACACTGACATGAGTACACCTTCAGGCTTACCATCACTACAGGCATTTTTATGCAAATCAAACACAGCGCTACGCAAGGAAACATCATCACACACTGCAAGCACAAAGAAAGCTTCGGTTGTTACAGCAGTCTGTCTCAGCACCCTAGAGCACCTCTTTCGAAATGGAGCCATTTAAAATAAATAAATTGCCTTTCAGACTATCTAATATGTGCTACACTACACTGTTAATTCTGATTGGTTCACTTGCAGGTCAAAATATGTCGAGACTTGTTTAAAGGAGGGCTGCATGATGTGGTTAAAAAGCATCATATTGAAGTTATTTTAACAGATATTGCAATTGCAATTGACAATTATGTGGGAATTACCATTTTTGCATCACAAATCGGATTTTCACAAAAAAATCTTAAAATCATGATGATGTTAAGTTTTGGGGGGTTTGTAGCAAACAAACATGTTTTCTTACATCTGGAGAACAAGATTAGTGGACCAGGGCACCTCTGCAGCACTACAGTGCTTTATGATACTGCTGTTTGTCACACATTTTACCTTTATCAAAACATTATAGATCTTGCAACTTGCATGTTGCACTTGGCCATATATTATCTTTATGTCACCGTCGGAGTGGAGTGTTTCTGGATGCTGGGCCTGACTGATTACTGTACAAAAACACAACTTTATTGCTTGTACAAAAACATAACTTCATCACTGTACAAAAATGCAACTTTATCAGTGACTTGGGTGGTCTGTGAGTGAACTGGATCATATTTTACAAATATCTTATGGTTTTCCATGTGACGTCCTCCTCCAGCTGCTCACCCTCAACTGAACTGGGCTCAACAGCCTCCCAGTGAACACAGCCTCAGATACAGATGGAGGCCAGTTTGACGACAGCGTTGCCAACTACTGGGGTGATTTATGGATTTTTACTGACCGTTTTTTTTTTTGGCAGACTCTGAAACTGGTTGTTTTATAAGGATCTATAAATGACTTTGTAGAAACTGCATGCATACGATTAAAACTGAGGAAGAGAAATGCTTATTCTCAAAGGACTTTCCTGTTGCTAACTATGCTGTGCAAGGGAGCATGAAAAGGGCCCTGACGCAGAGAGCCAGGGCATCAATGGCAATTAATGCAAGTGGTGTCTCAGACAAGGAGGCTAATGAGTTTTAATATACATGCAGGTGAGGAAAAGCTGAGTCGCTGAAGCCCTTAATGAACCCATGACAGCCTAATTAGCCACAATTTACAATTCTAGGATTCTAATCAGAGGCACTGAAATTCTGCCACACATCTTTGTATGACTGAGTCTTTTTAAATGCTCCAATCTGCTGCCTTGATTGATAATTGTCTGTGTTTTCTTCTTTTTGCTCTCTCTTTTTCTCTGTCTGTCTGTCTGGTTTGTAGCTCGACCAACTTAGTCTGTCATAATGTGAAAGATGTTTTGATAGTCATAAATCCAATACCAACACAAATGCACAAATACAGTTGAACCCCTCAATCAGTGATTGTGCTCTGCTCTAGTTTTCCTTTTGGTGCCTGACTTTAATTTAGTTTTAGTCTTCTCATGAAAATGTCTTTTAGTTTTCAGTTACAGAATTGTTAGTTGATCATTCTAATCATTCTAGTTTCAGTCAACAAGAACTGAAGACACATCAATACATATAGAGTGAAGCCTGCAAGCTAGTTAGGACATAAGCTGCGCTGTTAAACGCACATGACATGCCTCACTCCATAATCACTAACCAAGCGCACCCTTCCAATCTGGTGGTCTATTTAAACTGCACAATTTATGTTTTCGTTAAGGCCCGGTAGATTCTTGCAAATACCATT